AAAATAGTCTAATATCCATTATATTTCTAAAAAATCTTCCTTTGGCCTTGGATAATTAATTTAATTAATTGCCTTGCTGTATAACAGTGATCTTCATTTTTTAGTCATGGGGAATGTTGTGGTGTGGAAGTTTCTTAGGGCGACTTGCAAACTGGCAAAAACATGAAATACAACATAACATTTAATTAAGAGACTAGGTTCAATATTTCTCAGGTACAATTAACAAGAGCTGCAAAAATAATGTGTAGACAAGGAAATGATAATTGATAGAGTAGAAGAAATATCACGAATGTATGGCTTATGAATAAGAACTTTTGAGAAAGGGCATAAGCAGATTACTACTACTTGAATAACTAGTGTTTTTATGCTTCAGATAACAGTAGAACAAACAGTTTCAAACTTATAAGGAGTGATTACTTTCAACCACTATTTTATTATTCAATTTAACTTGCATATGCAGGGACAAAATGAAACACAAGTTTTAGACTTCGCTTACTCCAGCTATTTACTGCCCACAACCAATTCTCAAAGTTAGAAATTATAAACATTAAAGCAGTAAAAGCATAAATATTTGACTGTAAAGTATATGATTCTATATGAAAGCATTAAGAGGAATTATCGGTAAATTTATGGACAACAGTTAGAAGATCAACATTCAAGGCCTGTCTTTTCTGAATGAGAGGTTTCAGTACATGCCAATCCAAAACACACCAGTTTGCTGGATTGACTATTTTGAACTGAAGATATTTGTAAAAAAAAAAAACAGATGAAAGAAGGGCATTCTGGCCTTCCTTTCTCTTCTTGAAAGCAGGAGATAAGACTCCTGAAAGATGTTCTCTTTATTCCAGGAACTAAAGAAGGTTGTTATCATCAGAGACAAGAGAGATGAAGAGGAGAAATCTCTAAAACAGATCTTGTTGTATTAACCCGTGTCTTCCTTTAACCTCCCATATATGTTACTTACTTTCTCACAGTCACTACACTCTATTCAACTTATTACTTAAACACCTAGGCCTACTTGCTTTTAACTCTTGATTTTCCTGTGACAATTCACATGTACATGCAAAAAATATAAGGAAGATATATATGCTTTTTCTTGATAATCTGCTTTATGTCAAGGTAAATCTCAAGCCCAACAGAAGAATCTAAGTGGGATGGGAAATGTTTTGCCTTCCCTACACTTATAGCACCATTAACTACTTAGACTATTTAGTAATGAAATCAACTTGTTTAATAATAACAAAGCTACTTATTAAAACCAGGAATTTGCTAAACAAATTGGGAGAACAGTTTTATTTATTGGGAAATGAAATACTCTTGAATAAAATAAAATATACAATATTGCTTGGGTATAAAAATATTTTATACAAATGTCAACTGTCTTCATGTTCACCTTAGACAATATGTAAAAGAATAGCTAGAAAACATTAGGCAAGGGAAGATAGGCTGGGAATGGGAGATGAAGAGATTTGTTTAATTATTATTTTTTATAGGTACATGTTTATAGTCCATTGTGATCCCCTTTACCATGAGGAGTTCATATACATGCGTGAAAGCTCTCAATCCACTTTTAAAAAATGACTCCACTCCCCTTGCTCCACCTCCTTGCATCTGTATCTCTTAGAAATATACATATGAATGATATATACGTATATATGTATGCATTATATATACATATATGTATGAATTATATATGCTTATATATGTATGCATTATATATATGTGTGTGTGTATGTGTATATATATATATATATATATATATAAAATTTGCAGTACGTGATGATCACATTCTTCATAGTGACTTGGTGCATATACCCAGTATGTCACAATCCTTGCTTTCTAAAATCTCCTTTCCCTCCTATACATTACCATGTCTCCATCTTTCATTTCCCTTCCAATATGCCAAAGATGGTCACAGTTTACATGCCCACCAACAATGAAGAGGGTTCCATTTCCGCCATAGGCATTTCACCAATTGTTATTTTATTTCTGGAATATAATTATTTTTCTGGACTGAGATGGAATCTCAGGGTTTTTTGTTGTTTTTTTGGTATGGGGGATCGAACTTGGGACCTTGCGCTAGTGAGGCAGGCAATGGAACCACTGAGGTAAATCCCCGGCCCTTCAGTTTTGTTTTAATTTGCATTTTTCAAAGGCAAGTGATTTTGAACATTTTTCATGTATTTATTTCATGTATATTTTTCATGTATTCATGTATTATATTAATTTTCATGTAGTCACCTGAGAACCGTCTATTTATTTCAGGCGATTATTTTTTGATTGTGTCTAAATTTGAATGGACTAATATTTTTAGTTTTCTATATAGTCTAGATATTAGTCCTTTGTCTGATGAGTAGCTGGCAAAATTAATTTCCCAATCTGTAGGCTGTTTCTTCATTCTGGTGGTAGTTTCCTTTGCTATGCAATTTTTTTAAATGCATGTGATCCCATTTGTTCATTTTAGGTATTATTTCTTCTTTTTCCATTAACTTTATTGGTACATTTTAGCTATACAGTACTTTCCTCATTGGGATCTTATAGCTTTACATGATGTATCTTGGTTCTTAGGAAGAAAAGGTCCAAAGCTGTAGGGGAAGTGGGAAGAGTAGGGGAAAGAAAAGAAGTGAAAAGAAAAAAATATGAGAAAAAGAAAAAAGGAAACAAAGTCTTTGTAAATAGCGAAGGGTGGAGGGGGTGAAGGGAGGGCAGGGGAATGGGGAAAAAATAAGGACCAAGATAGGTATTATTTCTTGTGTTATAAGGTTTTGTTCAGAAAGTCCTTGGCTATATGTCTGTATCTTCAAGAATTTTATCTATTTCATCATCCAGCAGATTAAATGTTTGTTTTCACATTTAAATCTTTGGTCCATTTTGATTTTAGTTTTGTGTATGATGCAAGCTATGGGTCTATATTCCATCTTCAGCACTATTTGTTAAAGAGGCTATTTTTTTTTTCCACCAGTGAAAGGATTTTGCCCCTTTGTTAAAAATAAGGTAGCTGACTGTGCCTGGAGTTTTTTCTGCATCTTCTATTCTGTTTCTTTATTGCACAAGTCATTTTTTTCTTTTTATTGTCAACACCATGCTTTTTTTTTTTAAATCACTGTAGCTTTGTAATATAACTCAAAGTATAGGATTTTGATGCCCCTGCCTTGCCCTTGTTGCTCAGAATGGCTTGTGCTATTTTATGTCTTTTTTGGTTTCATGTGAATTTTAGGATTGTTTTCTCTAGATCTTTGATGAATGCTATTGGTATTTTGATTGGTATAGTAAATCTCTGTAACAGGTTATTTTGACTATATTGGTCCTGACCATCCAGGAAAAGGGGCTATCTTTACTTTTTTTTTTTATATCTTCTTCAATCTTCTTTTTTAGACTGTTGTAGTGTTTATTGTAAAGCTCTTTTTCTTCCTTGCCTAAGCTGATTTCTAGGATTTTGTTTTACTTCATGTTATTGTGAAAGGTATTGTTTCCCTAATTTCGCTCTCTGTGAGTTTGTTACTGGTGATAGAATATTGACTTTTGTGTGTCGACTTTGTGTCCTGCTATGCTACTGAATTTTGTTATTAATTCTAGTTGCTTTTTGGTGGAATTTTTGTAGTCTACTATGTAACGGATCACATTATTTGCAAATACTGATAATTTAACTTGTTCCTTTCCTATACATATCCCTTTTATTCCTTTCTGTTAACTGATTGCTCTGGCTAACATATTAAAAACTATATTGAACAACAGTGTTGATAGCAAACACCCTTGTCTTTTTGAGTGTAGAGGGAAAGCTTTCAGCTTTTCTCCATTTAATGGGATATTGGCTGTTGGTTTGTCATAGATGGCTTTTATCATATTGAGATGAAAACCTTCTATACCTATTTTCTTCAGGGTTTTTTCTTGAAAGGATGTAGTTGAACAGATATGTAATATTTTTAGAGTATGTAATTAGCTAGATGTGAGCTGGTTCTGGGGAGATGTTGGGTGAACTAAATTAGAAGGAAGTTCTTCACCTGTAGACAACGGTCTAAGTTGGGGTTAGACTTGGGGTTTCAAGAAATTGCTGAGAGGATTTAGGAAGCCCTTTCAGACTTCTCCCAGCTACCTGTTAGATTCTGGAGCCCACACATGCACATTCAGAAGTTGGAAAATGATAATCCTTTGGGCTTAATTTACTTACATTTCCAGTGTAGTTTTGATTCTCCCAAAATGGACTCATCCACCTTTGCTTGTTCCCACAGAGCCCCAAAACACTTCTTCAGTAGTGTTAGAATGCTCCATATTCAATAGTGTAGATGGAAGGTAGCAGTTCATTGGAAAGAAGCCCTGTTAGTTGCCACATTTGACCACTTTACAAAAATCTAAGGAAACAAAAGAAAAATCATCCCTATATCCACATGGCAGTTTTCATCTCTAGCTCTGTCTGATTGGATTCCTCATGAGATTAATATCCATTTCATCATAAGTTAGGTTTGCTTACACTGTGCTTTGCTTGTCAAACAATAGAAAGCTTTCTAAAAACTACTTTCTGACTCTGAGTCCCTTCTTATGGACCTTCTCACAAATCTTCCTGGCAGTGTTCAATAGCTGAAATGCTAATACAAAGCAGATCATTGTGGAGCTCAGTTAGATCTTGAAATTATGAGAAAATATATAAAACTTCATTTGCAATCACTGTTAGTGAAGAAATTTGGCTAAAAACAGATGACTGGATCAAAATTGGCCCAGAAATTTATTCTTCAAAAAATGTCATTTGGGGCTGGGGTTTAGCTCAATGGCACCACGCCTGCCTCGCAAGTGCAAGGTCATGAGTTCGATCCCTAGAACCAAAAAAAAATGTCTTTTAATAAAACATGTGAATCCAACTCATGACCATGGGGTTATCTACGATTAGTGAATTATTTACAATAAATCACCAGAATAAAAAATTTAAAAATGCTATAAAATGTAATATGTTGATGAGTATTATTTCCACTATTATTTCTATTCTTCTTCATTATTATTTTTCTTAGATTTCCAAATTAAATGACCAGCAACACTCTACAGATAATTGGGAATTCATTCTGAAGATCTATTAGATTCTATGCAATATATGAAGCACTTTACAGGTATGCCAGATATAACCCTCAGAAAATTCTACAAAGTTGTTATTATCAATCTTCATTTACAGATAAAAACATTGTGGTGTGAACAGATTAAATGGCTTTCATTATTTTCAGAGAGTGTCTAGCTTGGATTTGAACATCAAAAATTACTTTAAAAAAGACTCCCCTATTACAAACAGAAAAATGTTTTAAAACAAATAGAAAATCTTTGTAGCAGTGGTATATAAGATGGTAGGGAAGTAATAGTCTTATCTGGATCTCTGTTAGAAAGACACTACAGTTTCTCAGGTGAGAAATAGAAGATTAAGCTGGGCAGTGGTAGCCAATGTGAAGATACATTTAAGAGGTATTTATGAAGTATATAAATGGAACTGTTATCATTGCAGTTAATGCTTGCCTACTGTGGAAGAGGGATCCTCTGTTACTGCTACTATTATCAGCAGGAAGAAGAAATAACTTTAAGTGATACATGAATAAAACTTTTAGAACTGCAATAAAAGGGTTTTTAAATATCAGAATTCTATAGTGTAAGATCATAGGAATTTTTTGTTGTTATGAGTGAATTTGTATATAGGGCAATCCTTTTACATTTTTGTATTCATATAATTTACAATACAATAGAAATCTTGATTTTCTTTCTTTGATGAAAGATTTCTGGTACATTCTTGAGTACTAAAACTATTTTAAAGAGCCAATTATATTCAATCTCTCTCTCTTACACACACACACACACACACACACACACACACCCTCTGCATTGTACAGCTCTTTTTCTTAATTACAACCTATTTAATGTTATAAATAGTCCAAGTAAAAAAGAGAAATTAATGTTATGTATAAATTAAAGAAAATGTAATAGTATAGTTAGACTTTCAGTTTTATTTTAAATATTTAATTGATAAAAATTATATATACATGTATTCTAGGTGTAGAACAAGGTGATTGTCTATGAATGTTCATTGAAAAATAATTTTTTGTAACTGTATTTGTAGCTCAAAGATATAATAAGAGTGCTATTAAAACCTCCTCAACTTCTTCCCTTCTATTACATTATTTTATTTATTTGAAATACAAGTAGTTTCATTCAAATCTGCTTTTTCCAGAATATATATTTTATATAAGTTACTTTGAATTTCAAACAATACATTATTTCATATATACTTTGATGGATTCTTTCACATACATGAATATCTCAGTGTATCGATACATGTCTACAAATATACAGCCAAGTGTGACCAAAAATGTAATTTAAAATCACTTTTGATAGTTCTCTGGGATAAGTGAATAAAACAAATGATTGTTTATGAAATTTTGAAGCCACATATGCACATTTGAGTGACTTAATCAGAATTTTTAGAACTTCATTTGAACACAGAACATTGATATAAAAATGTTTCTCTTTGAGTTTGCACACATTTCAGAACAAAAAATTTTTTACATGTAAATCAATAATTTTTGCAATACTTTGATGTGAAAGTTATGATTAAGTGCTTCCCTATAGCTGAATAAGAATGGATGCATGTGATGAATATATAACAAAAACAGGAACAGATGGTTGGCCACATGTATCACATCTTAATTCAACTCTTTTTATGTAAAGCAATAACAAAGGAAGTATATTATATTTAAGTGATTTTCTTAGAATTTGTCAGTTCTGTACAAGTAGAAACAAAATGGCTTTTGAAGTGTATATTACACAGACACACTGCACTATGTATTGTACTATAACCTGTTTCTACAAATATTGATTTTACCATTTATTCTGTCAGAGTATCTTGTATACATTTGAAGAATAAGATGCAAGATGAGTTTGGTTTTAAATATGGTGAATCATGAAGGATTTAAATTTGGATTATCTACATTGACAAATTCAAATAAAGAAGTCTTCGCTTTTCCATTAGATTTTTATTGTGCTTAGAGATTTAAATCAATATTCACGACAAATCTGGATAATTTTGATCCTCAATTTCTCTTTATATCTATAGATATTTCATCAATTGCTTAACTTGATTTTCAGTCTTTCTGTTAAAATAAAACAAGGATTATTTTCTAATACAGTCAAATGACACTTTAATATAGGACATAAGTAGATGCAACCTGGGGAAGACATATATTTGTTTCAACTTTTTATTCAATTCCTTGTCACCTTAGGCTAAACTGCAATCACAGTAATTCAGCCATTTAATAGATCTTATATTTTTGAAATAAACAAGCCTGTGTTTGAAAATTTCGACAGACAGATATGTTCAATGGACTCAAAATTGTAGAGTCACACTATTGTAGGTGTCTGGATAATATACTGCATTTTACTGAATTCTTTGCATCTCTTTGCATATCCATTTGTATAATATCATTAGTTTCTCTTAATATGAGTAAATGAATATATAAGAATAGACCTGTAAATAAACACTCAAAAAATACAAGGAGATGAACAGATCAGTAGATGAACATAGCAAATATTTTTAACATAAAATAATTCCAATTCTTTACTAAAACTGGTACATATTTGGCTCTTATTGAAATATAAAAATTTGCCTGAAGTAGGATCATAAGTATGGATACTTAGTGAGATCTTTCCACAAAATAAAAAAATACAAAGAGCTGGGCATACAACTCAGTTGTAGAGCTACCCATGAGTTCAGCCTCAAATACTGAAAAAAAAAAAAGAACTGAAATGTCAAAAGTTAAACAGTGAGAGATACATTATTTATGTGGATAGTCACAAAGAGTGACTTCAATTATTACAAAATAGTGTTTTTAAGTCAAATTTCCAACATAAAAGCCAATCTTGAAATTTTTTGTATTGTCAGACATTGTTTGGAAAACATGTTTACTTTTTTGTCATTTCATTTGAAGATTACTAGAAGAATTAAAATTATGCTAATCACTGAGGCATAAGGCTGATGATCCTGATTAAAAAGCAATAAAATTAATGACTAAATTATCTGTTAAAGATTACTTCTTTCTGTACAGGGATTTCTTTAAATGTTCTTTGCATAATGTTAATAACTTTTTTCCTATAGTAACCCTTGTAATTATAGATAAGGTATGCAAACATATTTGTACTCTGGTAAGGTCTTTAACTTGAAAATAATGTTATGCTAGTATCATTTTGTTGAAGAATAATGTCACTAATTCAGGATTTATTTTAAGGTCTAAAAGTGAGCAATTAGTCATGACAACTTGCTATATGAAATATAATTGTAAAGTCCTCCAGAAAGCCAGTCTTTTTGTATAATGCTTTCCTAATTAATAATATAATGGGGCTTGAAATATAATTTAGAGAAGACAAAGCACATCTTTCTGTTTCATACACACACACAAATAAAACTATAGAAACAATATTGATTGTAGATAAACAATTCTCCATTTAGAATATAACTATGTTTATAAAAGCCTGTCTTAAGATAAAATGTTATATGTAGTATATCTTCTGTACTCATGGAAAAGTTGGACAGTAAGCAGTAGAGAATAGATTTCTCTGAGATATAAAATGTAGTAATTTTAGTAAATGATTTAATTACACAAATTCAAATCAAATTACAGCTTGTTTTGAGAACTACCTAGTACCAAGGATTTTGCTGGGACACATATTAACTAATTAAATGGTAGAATTTTGTTATACCCAGGAAAGCAAATAACATGACAGTGGGAAAAAAATAATTACGTTCTTTTACCTATCAAATATTTATTGGGCCCTGCAAAGCACTGAGCTCCATACTATGTATATCAGAGTTAGAATCAGAGATAATTAAAACGGAAATATCACAGAGAAAAAATGTTACAGTGACCACAAGAAGGACATATGAAATGTTCTGGACAAACAGAAGAGATCCATACAACTAGGCGTTGGAATGGATGAAAGGAAATCAAAGAAGCAACAGGAGAGCTTGTGTTACAGGTTGAATAGGAGATTCAGCTTATTAGATTCTGTTCCTTTGAGAATAGAAAATCTGTATAGGAAGTCAAAGTGAGAGAGAAAAAGAACTAAATATAAAAGAAAACATATAAATTAAGATATATGATGTAAACAGTTTTATAAAGCTTATAAATGAAAAGAATGCACAATTCACATTGCTTATTTTTATCACATGTATGCTACATGTTACATAACTGCAGTTTTTCCAGCTTAGCACTTTTACAAAACTCAGAAATAGTAATTGGCATTAAAATTGTGAAGAATAAATGAAAACTTGAATCTACTCCCTATCAGGACAGTTACTACCACCACAATTTATCTACTCTTGTGACCAAAGAGTACCCCATAAAACCTTCATAGTCGTAGGTCTTGTGCAGTAGTATGAGGATCCATTTTTAGAGAGTACTAAGTTGGTTTAGTGCTCTGCTGTCACTGTCTAGAAATCTTTAATATTTTTTTTTTGCAAGTGTCCTATACTTTCATTTTGCAATGGACCCTGAAGGTAGAGTTCCTGACATTAATTTTCTTAGGGTAGCACATGATCTTCTTTCTGTTGAGTGGACCTTAACTTATCTTTCTTAGATACTTACCATACCCATATTCCTCTCAGGTAAAGATTCATAGCAATATCAGGCTGAGTTATGCCTGTGAAAATCAGAGCTTAAACTAAGTTTTAAAAACTTTTTAGTGTTCTGAAACTTTTGAGCTTTCTCTTCTCCATTGATGGAAAACCTAAGAATATACAAAGTCTGGAATTAGTACAATTGTCTTGAGGTCATGTTGTGAAAAAACAGAACCCATTGGAGGTGCAGATCATCACTTAGAGAAAGGAAAGCTGAGTCAGGACTGGTACAACTTCCTGATGCATCATCTGTACTTGCAGAATATGCAACACTCTAAATGACAAAATGCTGGACTATTTAAATAGAGACAATGAATTTCCCACTAGCTTAAACCAGATTTAATCACATTTTCTGACTCTTAGAATACAAAGAATCCTTATAAAATTGCATTCATCAGAAATGTGATAGAACACAATTTTGCTTTTTAACTTAGTTTTTCTGAAATCATTGAACTAGGTTGA